TAGACATACGGGAATGTCATCATTAAATCAAACAAGACTGTCATATTTGGTTGAAAGTGCACATTTAGCCAGTGATTCTGCATTTTTGTGATTTAAAGGAATAAACAGAGGAGCAACTCATCAATTAACTGGAAATGTCAGAGAGCATCTGCATCGCATTTCAATACCGACAAATATGAGCGTTTAGTCCACTAAAAGCTAAAGACGCTTGTCTACAGAAATTTGCAAAATGATTTAATTTGTTATGAAAGTGGGTGAAGAGAACAAGCTCACATTCACAACCTCTGAACCTTGTCCCTCCCAGGATATTCAAGGCTAACAGATCCAATCCAATATGGCTCTGAGTTAAAATATCTTTGATGTCAGAGTTGATCTTTTATCCCTCTTCGATCGGCGGTAGATGGTCATGCGATGCTTTTCCAATACCGAGTGAGATTTAAAGAGTTCATTTTCTAATGAACTTGTCAAATTAGTTAGGAGATAAGTTTGGGGAGTTTTTTTTACAGCTCTAGCAGTGTAGCAAGTAATGAGATGCTCTTAATGTCAATAAGATCATGCTTTCAAAAATGCAAGTGTCAAAGCTAAAACATTTAATCTGATGTTTATTAGCAGTTTTACTACGTGAAGAAAATGTCCTCATAATGTCTCCTTAGGGAGCTGCATTGATGTATTAAACAATCCACTCAGCTTTAAAATTCAAGACCAGCTAGGTTTGTGCTTGAAAGAAATCAATGAGCAGATTGCTACTCATCATCTCTGGTAGTAGAGTACAAATATACTTGTTATTGTTTCAAACTGGAAAGTTGAAGAGCAGTTGAACTGAGTAGAATGTTTTAATTATTATTATTTTCTTACCTTAAGACAAACATTAGTAAACTACTTTGAGCAGATATGTAAAATCATAATTTAAAATGTCTCCTGCAGCTGTTATAGAAAAAAACCTCTGTGTTTAATCAAATAACCAAACAACTATTTTGTTTTTTAAGCTTAAAAAACAGCTTCTTTCGTCTTGTATTATGTTTAAGATGAGAGAGAAGACAAACTGTAAGGTTTTTCCTCGAGCATTTATTGCAACCTAATTTTAAAAACAATTCATAGTTTAAAACCCCCGTGGAGCGAATCTGACACTGATATGAAATCAGTCTAAAGTTATTGTGGTTCTAACATGATATAGATGCTTTTTCTCAGGCAAACAATGTCCACATCTGTTTGGCCTCGGGGGCTACTGAGTGAGAAAATAAATTTAATCGAGTGCTTTGGGTTCAGGCAAAACATACAGCCAAAATGTGCTTCACTAAACTTTGACTTGATGAACATAATTACTTTTTGGGTCAGTGATTCCCTCCAAATATACCATTAGCCTTGTCCATTTGCACTACTCACAGTGAGCAGTGGTACATCTCTCAGACACAACTTAGTTTTAATATTTGTAGTTGCAAGAATAAAAAGTTCAATCGTCAAATGTGGTCGATTTAACACGATTATACCTTCTTGAGTTGACTTGTTCAGCATATTTTAACCAGTAAGGCAGCTGAATTCTACAGCATGTATCGAGAAGACCAAGTGTTGGTCAAAGTTTAGCCCACTGAGGGCATCCGTTCCTCGATTAGTCATTTTTATGTTCACTTTGCTTGACTACAGCATCTGAGAATACATGTATTTATAGTAGGCATCTGTGAGAGAGTGCCATAATTAGATTAAAAGACGTAATTCCATGATCATTTTCGTCAGTGTTGTGTGCAAATTTAGCACAGGAAAGCCACCAAGACTTCATTCCCGCAGAACCTGACTGGCTGCTGACAGCACTACAGCATAAATGTGTGCAACACTAGATGATGTTGCCCCTCTGTAAAAAGACAGTAATCAATCAGAAGAGGCTGGCTCTGTTGTATAATTCACTGCTGCGTACTTTAAAGCAGACTACAAAAAAAAAAAACTGAAATCAATATAGCGCTCTTCTAATTTCTAAGAGTCTCAATTAAGCTGGATAACAACATAAGAAAACCCTTTCCTAAAGCTGGAACTGATTATTATTCATCATTGATCAAATAGATTAAAAAGTATCCCATGTTTCTATTCAGCTCTTTAGCCACTCAACAGAGTCCCAGGCTCTTTTTAGTGATATATTTGTTTAAATATTTGTGATGGTCCGTGGGTTTCTTACTTAAAGATAGGACTGCTGTAATTATTATCATTGTGCTGTCCCCAGATATCTGTGAAAAGTCTCCGGCTGACCCGAAATGCCCCAGCCAGAGTTCTGATGAGAATTCGAAGTAGAGAACATATCTTGCTATTTGGCTTCCTCTTGAACTCAATTTAGATTTCTGTTCGCCTGATTTGAGGCTCTGAATGACCAGCCACAATCAAATCCACAAGATGTCATAATCAGATATGTTCCCAGCAGAACACTTGGTGGTTCCTAGACTTTCTAAAAGTAGAAAGAGAAGCGGAGCCTTCAGTTATCAGGCCCCTCTCTGAGCAACCAGCTGCCTGTATATGTCTGGGATGTAGACACTCTCTCTGCCTTTAAATTAGGCTCAAACTTCTCTTGATACAGTGTACAGTTTGGGATGACACACATGACTCTTAAACATCCAGTAGTTATGTCGCTAAAAGACAAGACAGCTGGGGGAGCTTGCATAATGCACCTCTCACTACTCTAGTCTCCATTTTCCTTTTTTCTCCACGTACACGTGCGATCACTGAGTTGTTGTCTTGCGTTTCTCTTTCTCACCAGGTATCCCTGAGCTGGTGTCATGATGTTTTTCGTCCCCTCTTTCCTGTCCGTACAAACCCCAGCTGGTGGAGGCAGATGGCCGCCCTCGCTCAGTCTGGTTCTGCCAGAGGTTTCTTCCAGTTAAAAAATAGCTCTCCTTGGCTTTGAGACTTCTTGAATTGGCTCCGTGTGAAGTCAACTCATTTTAAATGTAATAAACAGCAATTTATTGCATTGTGATTGTATTACAAAACTGAATTGAAGAGAACTTCAGAGGCTGAACATGAGTTAGGATGTGTTTGCATTTATAGACAGATAGTTATATGTAACTTATATGTAATGTAATGTTTTGTCACTGAGCAAACTGAGGACACCTACATTAATATTATCCTGGAACATTGTATTACTGTTGCCTTTTACTTTTGAAATAACTAATTTACTCGTGTTGATTCCCTTCGACACAGCACAGCACATGTTGACCTAACACTTTACCAAGATGTCATAAGCTGTACTTTTTTCCTGTCTGCCCATTGTAGTGGAGAATATCCTCCGTTGAATTAAACAACTGCATGCCTGCACGGTGTTATTACTTTTTTTAAATGACTTGTTCAGAAGTCCATCGATGTTCCCAGGACAATACTGGGGAGAAATGGAGAAAGTCTACTCTCATGCCTGTGTTGTTAGTTCACAGAATTAAATTTAGCTGTCTGCTGTCAAACAAGCAGACGAAATGAGATTTTTTTTTTTTTTACCTGTTTATTGCGCATACAACAAAGAAGGCCTGAGTAAAGGGTAAGTCGTTTTAGTGATCTAAAATTAGATGAAGCGTTCACAATCAAGAGCTGTCTTGCACTGGCAAATTTGTGAGGGCTGCGTTTTCTTCTGACAAGCTGACAGACAGGAATGGATGCTTTAAAGGGAGCGGAAGATGAAGCGGAGCATTACCATTCACTACATTAGGAGATACTCCTGCCATGATAACATCAGACGCGGAGTTAAATAACAGACATATGGAGGAGAGAGATGCAGATTGGTGAAACATTCGTCAAAGCCGGAGAGCTTTAGAAAAGAGAAATGAAAGGCAATCTTTGTCTCTGATGGAAGCTTGTGGTATTTGAGTTTTTTGCTCTTTGTATGCATGAGTTTGGACCAAGTGTGGGCAGAGCTAAACAGGGAGGCCCGCGGAGGATTGAGTCTTCACTCACATGAAATGCAACTTTTTCTCCAAATCTCACCAAGAAGCTGTGGGGGCGTTTGGCTGCTCAGAATCAGGGAATCGATGCTGTGGGCAGGCAGAGGGATGTGCACAGAGGAGAGGAGGACGTTTCGCTTTTGTATCACTCACAGAGCCTTCTTGGCAGCTTGTCATCCGTTGTGACTGATAATGTGCCTCAACCCTGGAGCAAAAGAAAGAGCTCTTTACCTGTGTGGGTAGATTTCCGTCCTCTCCTTTCCCCGTATCTGAGATTATTTCTGCCTGCTGTTATTTTTGCGTTTTCTCTTGTCCCTGGAAAGAGAGAAAAGAGGGAACCGCTACCCGAAATTGCAGATACTTTGGCAGCTCATTCAGCAGCGGGCACTGCGTTGCTGCAACAACACAATGTTACAGACATCTCAACAACTCGCTGTACACACACGCCGATGCAGGTGTCACTCTTCCGCTGTGGGAGATTAAACCCAGAGACCACAAACAGAATCCACACACATTTCCAGGAGTAATGGAGCTGTCACAGGCTAAAACTGACCCCGCGGTAAGCCCCCAGGGACAACGACACAGTGGCCATTCCTATATGGAATTGAGGTCTGTAGCAAAGAGAGGAGAAGGGGGGGGGGGTCTGATGATAACAGTCATCTTCGCTGGAATGAGGAAAAATAGAGGTCATTGTGTCACTGTAACCCCACGGGAGATGTGTGTGTGTGTGTGTGTGTGCGTGCACCACCTTGGAGGCTGTGGTGAGAATCCCTGCAGAGAGAGTGAAGGCAAAGGGTGCTGGTGGGATTCTGAAGTGATTGTTGATGCTTGGCTGGAGCTGATGAAGCCTGCCTCCAGGGGATATGAGAAATATTAGGTTCCCCCTAGTCCTGCAAACCAGCTAAATTACAGACGGCTACAACACAATTCTCCCACAGTGGGTTATTGCACCTCACATGTTACTCCCTCTTCTACTCGTATGTATTTCTAAGACGTAATGAAACGTATCCCAACCATCAAAGCGTGATGCACTGCAAAGGCAATCTTGCATCCAATCTCGTGTCTTAGCTCCAGTTGCCTGTGCGGTCTCTGGAGGGTGAGGCATGCTTTCTCTCCCTGCCTCTCTCCTCTCTCTACCCATGGCGCTTTTGCAGCTCTGAATCCACTTTGGCTCCGAACATTGGCAGCAGCGCCCGTTGCCTCCGCTCCACACACACACAAACACGCTCTCAAACACACTTTTGCGAACACAACGTGGACCAGACCGGCCGGAGAGATATTTTATCAAGCGTTTATGGTAAGTCAGCATCCTTTTTTTCTCCCTTTATTTTCTTCTTCTTTCGCTGATGCGCCGTTTACGCGTAACCCATTCCAAGTGACACGCAATAGATGATACGGAAGATGTGAGGGTAGAAAAATACGAAATCCAAATAAATTACCCATTCGAGGGCTGAAAGTGTGTCCGAGCTACTCACCGGTGAGTTTTCTTTCTGTGACAACTCATGCAAACAGATTTGTTTTAGTTAGAACTCTAAATCAAGTTTTTACGTTTTTATCTGTAATTGAAATTATTTTAATGGTGACATCATATGTCTTCCACTGTGTTTCATGCAAATTTGCACTTTTTAATCACTTTTCGGTTGTTCAAACTCATACCATAACGTTTTTTCACCCATAGTTTGCATTCTAGTAAAAACTGAGAACCACTCAACCCATTCAGCAATCCATAACAGCCATCCTGTCTTGACCATAGATGTGAGCAGATGAGCGCTGACCTTTTGCTTCATTTCTCCACATTCTGCTCTAGTGCCTTTTCCCTGTGTGTTCCCCACCATAAGAATCATATAGGACAAGATTCATCTTCTTTCCTATCACAGGAGCTCTTTTGCTGCCCGGGGTCATGCATCTTTCTCGCTGCAGTGCTCAGCTCTGCCTTCTGCCTCTGGCTCTGTGTTTGGGCTTTTGGCTAAAGGAGGAAAGAGAGAAGTGAAGTGAGAGATGAATGGATAGATGGAGCAACAAAGACCAGTCATAAGCTTGCAGCTCCTCTTGGTGCTCACCGCCCTGTTTTTCAGGATTGATCATCAGCCGTTGCCAATAAACCGCCTCACCCGGAGGATCTCTGAACCTACTGAGGCGCCCTAATAGAGAAATCTCTGGCACTGTCACGTCCCTCAATCACCTGCATCCCAAATCCCCCAGTCCCGACGTCATTGCTAACTTCTAACCTCGTTGGCTCTACTTTCCACAGAGGCAATTACCTCTCTCGCACCCGTGCGCCAACACTCCTGCTGATGGCTGCGTTATCTCGGCAGAAGCAGGGCCCGTGCTTACTGAATTTACTGCTCAAACCTGCCCCCGAGGAGCACGCGGCACACAGCGTAATCTTCGCTTGATCCTGTCCCTAAGGCTTTTATCCCTTGTAAGAACTGTTATTGTATGAGGGATACAAAAGCTGAGACCATCCGAAGCCCGCAGTCCCCTTCCAGCTGTTGACGGGCTGTCTATTATTCCGGATGCGAGTCCCGGCGCAGGAGGAGTTATAAGCCAGGGATGCAGGAGGACTTGCAAATCAAATTGCCTAAATCTACTGAAGCATCTGTCTTCATTCTCAAGAGGGCAGCAGGGTGTGGAGCAGAGGGGCTCTCAGCCCTGATCATGACTGGAAAAGAAAACAAAACCCATCACTGAGGAATTATACGAGGTTCCTCCATCAGCCAGCTGTGCAGCCCCAGCGAGGAACTGATGGCAGGACTGTCATGACAATCCTGACACTTTTTACAAGTAGCAGGGATTGTTAGAGGCTCGGTGAAGTTTCTTGTTATCTGTAGTTCCTCTGTCTGCTCTTCTGTCTCTTTTAATAAACAGAAGAGTACTTTTGAGACAAGTGACAAACAGCAGAGTTCCCTTGTTCCTGTCATCCTGTCTGCAAGTTCCTAAACAAAGTTTCACCCCCTGATGAGTCTCATCTTGCATTCGCCGTTCTCGGCCACATTCAGACAGGATGGCTTCGTGATGTCATCTTGATTTCTTTTCCCTTCACCCACCGAGTAAACGTCTTTGGTTTGGCGCTGTTTGTGATTAATGGAACATCAAAAGCTCAGTGTGATACATTCCTGAGGATACGATTCTGCCAGGGACACATAAACATCATTAATGAAGAAGAGGCAGACTGAAGAGAGATAGAGAGATGGGCAGAGGGCGAGGAGGCAAATGGGAAAGGCGGCATTCATTTTTGCCGGTAATACGTTGTATATTCACCTGTGATTTTGGTGGTGGAGGAAAGCCACTTTGAGTGATGAAGAGAAAGTAGCTCCCAGGGTTCTTGTATGATTACCCTCCTTTGCTTTGGTGCACACAGGGAGGTATGGGTGGCAGCGCTTTTTTTTTTTTTCCATTTGGGAAAATCACATCACTCGTTGCTCTTTCATGCCCAGTGGCAAAGAACTTAGAAGTGTACAAAGGAAACTTCTCTCTTCATGAACACAGCTATATTTATCTGGATTTCTAGCTCTCTACTGGGCTTTGAGGCTTAATTACCCAGAAGAGAGGGAAGTAAAAATTAAATGCAATCACGCAACACTGTAAAGATTATTCCAAAAGTGGCTGCTGATCATTGCTTTCATTTCTCTGTGAAGGTCATACCTTTTGCATCATATTTTTCTCAGGCAAAAAGAAGGAATTTTCAGGAAAAAGAAAATCCTGAACCTTTAAACTGTTTATTCAAGGGATTTAAGCTACTTATGTTAGAAATGCAAAAAGGTGCCATCTGTTTTCTTCACTTGCACAGATAAAACGTTCCATGAGTGGATTTCGCTTTGAGAGACGTTGCATATTTGTGATTGTAAAATAGTTGGACTTTTTGGCAAACATTTGACCTAGCTTTAGTGCAGAGAGGTTTTGAGTCTTTTATTTTCTCCAGCAGATATTACAGTAGCCAGTATGTGCTAAAAGCCTGTTTTATATTTACCGACATTAAGAGTGGCATCTATCTTCTCGCTTAACTCTTTTTCTTTGCTTGAGAGGATCTCGCTATTGAGGTTTCCATCTTGGACTGACGTAAACAATCTAAGCAGGGACTGTTAAAGACATGCGCTTAACCCTCTTCAGCCGAACTGCCTTTGAGCAACATTCTGGGCTGCTATAATGAGAACTGCACAGAAGGCCATCAGTAGAAACCTACGGACAGATGTGCGTTAAAGCTACACAGGCATGCAGCTGTAAAAAACAAAAAAACAGCATCAAAATGAAATCTCATTCGGTGTGTCTCAGTGTGAAGAATGTAGAGCCAGAGGTGGGGGCAGGATGGAGTGCTCCTGGAAGACGGTGCTGCTGCTGGTATGTGCATCTCTGGGGGTCCAGTACACGGCCATCCGGACCCTGAGGGACTCGCTCTCTGGACCCTGTCAGGGAGCCTACCGCTGCCAGAGCAGACACCGTGGAGGTACAGCCTTTAGGCAAATTAAAACTGTCCCACATTCTGTAATGCATCTTCAAATGTTCAGTTGTGTCTCGTGTGTATTTTACGAACACTTAAAAATAACTTAAGATAATGTCTATATGACTGAAACAGACCGACACACATAATATGATGTTATATTCTTAATACTTATTTGGTCATTTTCTGAAATTTGATCATTTTGGAGACATAAACATTTCAGACAGACAGAGTCAGACTGCAGCATCATTACTGATGCAAAAGCAAAAGAAAAGTGGGCCGGTAAATTAGGGAAATCCCTGTAAGTGGAGAGGAGAGGAAAGAAAATTAAATATATGTGATTCTTTATGTAATTATCCTCCAATTTACCTTAATTAATCTTCTCTCATAGCACAGATGTAGTTCCCCAGCGACAGTCTCCTGTGTGCTAAAGTAACAACCTTTTTGCAATCAACTCCTCATCAGCAGTAATTACACATTATAAGTTCACACTATATTTAGAGATCCACCATTTCATAAACTCACATTAGACAAGCAACTTACTCATGCATATTTCCCGTCTAAATTATTTCATTTTAATGACTTTATACATTAGCTGTCAAGGAGAATAGCCACACACACATACACACATCCTCATACAAACCTACGCATGCATGTTTACTATATATATTATTGTCTTTATTGGCTTGATTTGGTCATTGGATCAAATATATTGTACTAAGGAATAGAATGCATAACTATTCTATTTATATTCATTTATGTTTAGATTAAGCCACAACACAAACACAAAAAAAATTCCCTTTTCAAGCTGTTGAAGGTCTTTCCAGGAAACAGCAGTTTCAGCAAAAAAGTGAACATAAAGCACATTAAGTGAGCCTTAATGAGTTCATCTGTTAATAAAAACGGGAATATTGACCAAAATGGGTTATCTGGAAGTGTTCTTGAAAGAGAAATTCAGAAATTCCAAGGTACTTGACCGTGTGATGAGGCTGTCCCTAAAAAAAATGTCTTGCACTTTAGAACTTTTTTCTTTTTCATGCTGTCCCCGAAGGAGGATGTACATTCTTTTTTCTTGACTGAGCGTCAAAATAACAACAGTAAGACAGTATAGAGTGAGCCAATTTGCTGTCACTTTTGCAGAGAGAGGGATGTGAATGGCACGGTCATTTGGGTTTTTTCTTTGCTCAGATTCCAGATGGGCGACCTCGTGCGACGACAGCTGGGCGCAGACGGACTCGCCCAGGAAGCACATCCTGCTGTTCGCCACCACCCGCAGCGGCTCCTCCTTCACCGGGCAGATCCTCAACCAGCACCCCGGGGTCTTCTACGTGTTTGAGCCTCTCTACCACGTGCAGCAGGCCTTCACCAACTCCAGCAGCAGGCTCCGGCGCAGCCTGGACCGCCGGGCCCTGCTGGGAGCGTACAGGGACCTCCTCCTCAACCTGTACACCTGCGAGCTTCACTTCATGGAGAACTACATTCGGCCCGAGCCCCAGGATCACGTGACCAGCTCCTTCTTTCGCCGGAGCTCCAGCCGCGCGCTCTGTTCTCCCCCCGTGTGCGTGGAAACGGGGGATAAGATGTCCCCCGATCCACCCGATGAAACCTTGTGCGCGAAGAAGTGTGGGCCGCTGAACCTCACCTCGGCCTCCGCGTCGTGTCTGTCCAGAGAACACGTTGCCATAAAGTCGGTGCGAATCCCCGAGGTCGGGGACCTGCGCACTCTGACCGAAGACCCACGCCTGGACCTGAAGATCATCCACCTGGTCAGAGACCCCAGAGCCATCTTGGCGTCCCGCATGATAGCCTTTTCCGATCAGTTTCGTGCTTGGAAAATATGGAACGCCACCGGAAGGCAGCCCCGTTACGTGGACCTGTCACAGATAACCAGCACCTGTAAGGACATGGCGGCCTCTGCAGGAACAGGTCTCCAGAAGCCCTCGTGGCTGCACAGACGCTACCTGCTGGTGCGGTACGAAGATCTGGCTTTCAGCCCACAGGTCAAAGCCAGTGAGATCTACAGGTTTGTGGGGCTGGAGATGCACAACAGGGTGAGGACGTGGATTGCAAAGAACACCAATAGCAACGCGTCCTCTCCGTCCGAGTGGAATTATCGATACTCCACCACCAGAGACTCCAGAGCGGCAGCAGAAAACTGGAGACTTCGTCTGGGCTTTGATATCGTCAGAACGGTTCAGAATCTGTGTAATGACACTCTGGCGCTGCTGGGATACAGGCTGGTGCACTCCGTGGCTGAACTTCGAAACTTGTCACATAGTTTAGTGGAGCAGGGGACGTTTCAGTCCGTCACATGATCATTTTGAAAATGGTCAATGAAATATTTATTATTTATGGCTGCATTAATGCTGAGTGTTCTGTCAGTTAATATGTTTGTGGAGCTATTGTGACTCATAATTGAATGATGTATCTGGTCAGTGTTGTTAAAGAAATCAAAAGTACCATATTTTGTGTGTGACCCTGAAAGGCATTAATTATGCGTTATGAGGTTTAGGGTTAATGATACCTAAAGACCTTAACTGATTAATTAATGACCACCACCAAAGACAAAAGACACATAAACATTTTAAGAGACCAGAACAAAGCAAAACTCCTTAAGTTCAAGCAAAGTTTGAATTCAAATTCCACCATGTAAAAGTTGCACATAAGTGGCATAATGGAACCGCTCAGAGCTTTACAGTTGGAATTTTCAAAATTCAAACTTTTCGAAAAACAGAATACATCTTGTTTACATATTCTATGTTTACAAATTTATTACAAAAGTACCTTTGCTTATCTGAAATGATTTTACCTCCCTTTTTCAAACACGATCAATTTAATTAAACATTTAGATATGATTTATACACAGCAGATGTTTTGCAACGGTTTAGATACAAAACGGAAGTAGTTCTCAAGCCCTTTTTTTCTATTTGATTATTAAATTTAAACATAATTTCAGTGTTATGTTTCCTCCAGCTCTCCTGCATTCATTTTCTTGGACTGCATGTGAAATTATTCAGTATTGGTTGCATTTGAAGGTCCAGGTTGTTATGTTCATGAGGTATTTGGTACCACTTTTGGGATCAGGGATGCAGCTTTCCTGCTGTCGACGGCTGCTTTGTAGATGTTGTGCAGGGGGGATGTTTGTACCCTTGTTGTTTTGACCAGTTTTGCACATGAATGACATTAATATAAATATAAAGAATAAGCCGTGTTGACGGATTAAATAATTTACTTTTAAAACATTTGGAACTGATTGGCACATGCAAACATTTGCAGCATGCTGGGATGCTCAGTGCCAGACTGGTATGGTTAGTTGAGGCTGGTTTTGATTTGAGGTGTTTTTTTATGTTACTCAAACTTGACAAGTTTGTATGTGGTTTTGTTTTGTTCAAGACCAACAGTAATCTGACTGCATCCAGCATTAATAGATGTATTAACTCCACACAGCAAAAAAGAGAACCTGAAGGCTGTGGTGCTTGATGTGGTTTTCTTATTGTTGATTTATTTTCTTGTCGTTTTATATAACCCTAATGCACAGTAGTAAGTATTACTTTAAATTTGCCATTTACTTGAAAGGCTAACTGACATCTGAATCAACAGACATAACACCAGACTACTAAATGACCACATCTGTCTTTATTTTATTGCAAATCACTTATCAGTTGAAACAATGCATTATATAAGTAGAGACAACCAGGAAATAAGCTTTCAAGCTAATTTTTTAAGTAACTCTACTGCATTATGGAAACATAATGCTATAATAAGGCCTGCAGTGCTGATTTTAGGATGTCAGTAATGTGTGAAAAGGTTTGTTGAGTACTTTTTTGTATATATTGCAACTTACTGTCAGCGTGCAAATGTTATGTGATTTTTTTGTGATATAATTTTTTTTAGATTTGTAAGAATAAATTGATGTGTTTAAAAATAATCCTGCAAATAAAGTGTTTAAGTGCCTGAATTCCTGATCTGAACGCAGGGATTGATGCAAATAAGCTTTTTTCCCTCCCATAGTGTAATCCTTCTATTTTTAGAAGGTCTTTTTGTCTTTCCTACTGATGTGTCTCTAGTCACAGATATTTTTTCTTCAAATGACAACAAGATGCCCACAGTCTGTTCCATTTTTTTAACCTTCACCCTAACAGAAATATCACCAGCATCATTCAGACTGTGTATGTAGAGTGGTGTATGTAGAGATTAGACACCTCCTGGTAACATTTCAAACTGGTCTTCATGTCTAAACAGAGAAAGGATGTGTGTCGTCGCCATGCGCCAGCCCATTTATTTCCTTGTGGAGCTGCTCTCTTGAGATAAACGCTGTGAGTAGTTTCTGAGGAAAAAGCTCTTTGCATGAATCATGAAAAAACACTTTATGACTGATTTCCTTGCCTTTTAAATGTTAACATTGCATTTAAAAGGCAACGTTCACGTTCCTATGGAGGATGCAATTCTCTCCTGCTGGCAGCCATGAGCTTGCGTGCTCATGATGCTGATGAAAGCCACGGGAGAGTGATGGAAAGTGCACAATTTGAGAAGGAGGGTCATGCTGCTCTTTGAGTACTGTCAAATCTGAAGGGAAATCATCCCTTTAGATATGTATTTTCAGACATCCAACTTTGCCCACCCATCCTGTGAAATTCCCCTTGCTTGCTGACACCAAGGATATTTACTCTCCATCCAAAGAGCTGATCTATAGATCTATCTGAGGGGATTTAAGATGCATGAAGAAAAGGGCAGGCGCCTTTCTTTGAACTTAATCTGTAAGGCTACACAAACGGGCCATAAAGACAAGCTTTATGACTCCCGAGGAGAAGTGCTTTATTGGCTTTTCCGTCTCCACCCTGACACACAATGCTGCAAGTGACCAAAGTTAGCCATCAGCTAATTACCCATTTCTTCTGTGCTCAATACAGACAAGCTATTTCTGTCTCCGTAACTGCACTGATAAATTCAGGTCCTATCGATACTCAAAACAAATGGGAGTTGGCTCCTGGTCGTGCGAAAAGCTGAATAGCACAAGGTTTATCAGTGCAAGTGGTTCTCATCCTCACAGACAGCCATCATTCAAAAACCATGGATACAAATAATGTTATCGTTTCAGAAAAACGAAGGTGTACCTGCCCTCAACACTTGACCCAGGAAAGCAGTGACAGTAAAAGAACACTGTATTTGCTCAATTAGAAGTACTTCAGCTGTTTTTAAAAAGTGACTTAAAAAATTGCCTTCAGACAAAATCTAAATGACAGATGGAAAGCAGTAGAAAAGACAATGCTGGGTGTGATGAGATACTATAGAAAATACAACCAAGCAGCAGTGGGAAGCCAAACACACAAAAATTAGCTGCAAACTCACAATCAATGGACACTTCTCCTTTGTTTTGTGAATTATGCGTCATGGTTTTATTTTCCAAGGCATATAACTTAAGCTACTTCCTTAAGTATTTTTATCACGGCCACATACAAACTCCAGAGTAAATTTTATCATCTAGGAACTGGAAAAAAAAAAGAAAAATAATTCAACCAGGCAAGAGATGTCTTCCACTCTCCTTCACTAAAGCCTTCACGTTCATAACCCAGTGGAACGGCGCTCCGCTGTTGCTTCTTACTGTTGGCAGAGATAGCGTATCACTTATAACCACATAAGGAGAATTGTACAGTATGCAGCTGCACAGCAGTTGCCAAGGCATTGAAAACTGTCAGGAAAAGCTCTTGACCAAGTGCCAGTATGTGACAAACCGGGAGAGGGGATGTGTGAAATCCATAGCCTTGGCTTGAACACAGAGGTGCAAAAGTCAGTACAGATGCATTTATCTGATATGCTGTAGAAGTAGAAACCTTCTTTCAGGGAACGTGTTGTCAGCATCTTGAGGGGGTGCATGTTGACATACGTCACCCCTGCAGTTCTGTGGAAGTATGCAGAGCAGCACAGACTCCCCCTCTGTCTGTAAACTATCCAAGTTGCTTTCAGATCTTCATATTTTTTTTCCTTTCTTTGTGTCAGAGTAAACTCTTGCATCAGCTTGTGTTGAGAGGTTGGATGGTCGGAGCTGCTGGACGGCGATGGACTGCGTGATCTGCATACGTTTGAAGAGCTGAGAAAGAAAGAATGTCCTTGAAGGGGCGTGATACTTTGCACTGGGTGTCTTTATTGCAGCATAATAAAGGAACTAGGCGGGAAAGCTAAAGATTGTGTGAAGAAAGCGCCGTGTGAGCAGAGTGAGGAGGTCAAGATGAGAGCTCTGATGTCAAAGCCAGAGAAGATGCTGGCTGAGCAGCTCTCATGTGCACATCAAGGGCATGAAATATTGTGATTAACGATTCAAAATCGATATGTTGTCCTTAATACTTATAGGTTAGAAATCAACAAGCTTTAAGTCAGGGACTCACTGTTTAAGCTAAATGGTCAGAAGCTGTTTGTCTGGGTTTGAGTCCCAGTCTTGGTCCTTTTTCTGAATGTCCTCTGTCACTCTCTGCAATCCTTTTCTTAACTACCTACTTCTAAATGAAGGCTATTACATGCAAAAAGGCCCTTTCAAAATGGCTAAATTGGGTGTTGATAGGGGCACAGGGCACAGAACCAATGTGAACCAGCTCCCGACTCCATTTTGATAACCGCTCTCTTGACCTTTTAGCACCAGTGTTTGAGCCGCTGTCAGTAAAGTCAGCTATATCGTTTAATCCCCGTTCTGCTCGATTGCAACGTCCCTCCGTAATCACCAGCCTTAACCATTAGCTGGTCATAATGAGATGTGGGAGGCTGTGAGACGTCCTTGGAGTTGCCCCCCCCCCCCCCAGCTGCGAGTGCGCCGCACAGGTTCATCATCCCCGCGGTTGATTCTTTATGGGCCTTATCTGGGCAAGCAGCCAGAGAGTCTGGAAATCACCGGCCTTTTTGCAGCCACCATGACTCGTAACTGGCCACTTTGGTCAAAATCTACACGTGTGCTTAGAAAAACATACATCTACCTGCTCTCTCAGAGCAAATGAGTGTGCCTGAAACCTGACAACCAGCAGAAAGGAAGGGAGTCGTTTCCTCCACAAATTGCTCCTCATGTTGGAAATCACTGACTTAGGAATGAGAGGCTGATGGGAGCAGAGCGCACAACATATTGATGAGCCAGGAAATGAGTCTTTCAGTTTTAGGCCAAACTTACTCTTTTTAGTTTTTGTCGCGCGCGCTGTTTAATTTCTTGCAGTTGCGTAAGACTGCAGGCTATAATTTCCTCAAAGTAAAGATAGGCAGTTTATCATATTTCAACGTTTTATGTGGAAATCATCCGAAAATAAATGGAACACGAACAACACTTAAGCTCAGTGCATTTGTCCAAATTGCTATGACCATTAGATCGCCGTAGCATTTCCCCAAATAATTTGAAATCTCTCAGTCTCCTTACTGGAAGCCAAAAATGTCATTTATGGAGAGATTATGGAGCATTTAAGACTGACTGAAACCACTTTGC